TATACGGATGGTTTTTTTTTGAGTATATTCTTGTAGAGGAAATCAAGTAGATCATTTCTAGAAAAAAAAACCCGAACTCGAAAGTCAAATTCTTTCAAGAAAAAAAGAGCCGCGAAAAAATCCGCTATAATTATGCATCAACCTAATATTTTCTATACTTGCTTATATTTGATTCGCTTGGTGCTGTTAAGGAAAAAAATGGCGTTCTTGGACTGTCCCTACTACCTGAAGATGGATCACTCAATAAGAATTGTCCCTATCTTCTTGCCGAGCCCAATTGTTATCTAGAAGCGTATCAGCATGTATTGTCCGTATTGAAGGTGAGAGATGCCAACTCATTGTCAATATTTAGTTCTGTTATGATGCTGGTCAAGCAAGAGGCATATACCGTTACAATCTTTTTCTTCGTCTGGAGTAAAGGCTTAGATGCGTAGATGGTATACAGTACCGTTCAATGGAGAATGCGTTTTCATTTTTTCAAACGTAACTTCTTTAAAGCAGCATCTGGTTCCTTCACTGTTAATGCCTACCACTGAATGTGGTCAGAGAGCGAGTTTTCAATCGCCCAAGGGAATTGTGGAATATTTGGAAAGACTTCATAAAAAGATTCCGCCACCAAAAGGCCAGTAAAACTTCAATCTGCTTCGATTTTTAATTTCTCAGCGCAACAACTTGCATTAGAGCAAATATAACGAGTATGACATCAATGCTTTGTAGCATTCGGAGTCAATGACCACTTGAACTGAATCGGCGTGACATGGGCTCGATGAGCTTGTCGATGTCCTCCTAAGGGATATTCTTCCATACGGTCTTTAGTGGAGGAGCTTGTCGTGCTCCTTGTCGGCCCAGAGGCTTTTTACTTGATGCTCGAGCCAATCCTACAGATGTTCAATGGGACTCACAATCAGATCTGGGGCTTGCAACAGCCACGGTAGCAGAGGAGCCACCACGATGCCCCCGCCATATTTTACGGTTGGCAACTAGTAACTTGCATGGCATCTGGTACCGAATGGACGTCAAGCAAACTCGATTTCGTCCATGCCGGACACCGAAAACTTCTGTTCGTCATTTAACCCAATGGCGACCGCGCCTTTTTAGCGTGTCTGGCGTGTGGGACCGAGCGCGCTTTTCGCGGGCTGCTGCTGTGGTCGGGTCCGGGAACTTCTCCCCTAACACGGCGTCGCACACGCCGCACCCGCCGCCTATCGCAGGATTGCGATGAAAGATTGGAGCGCGCAATTTGTGAAGTAGGGAGTCCTTTAATCATTTGAATTGGCTGGTCGCTCCCTTCAATTTCAATGCGGTATTGATCGTCGTTTATATAAGAGGAGTCATTTTAATTAATCAAGTCTAATAAACATGAAAACTAAAAAGAAACAGAAGAAAAAACGATAAAACCCAATGAAAAAGCAAGCCAGTCAAGGAAAATATCGCGTCCTATCGATTTTCGGGAGGCGAGGTGAGTACGGTAATTGCAGTGACATTTGCCGCATGCCGCAAGGGAGAATGCCGCGATAGGGGAGAAGTTCNGTTCGTCATTTAACCCAATGGCGACCGCGCCTTTTTAGCGTGTCTGGCGTGTGGGACCGAGCGCGCTTTTCGCGGGCTGCTGCTGTGGCCCGCTGGCGGGCCACACGGTCCTAGGAACAAACAAATTTTTTCGTAAGCATTTCCAGCCGACAAAAATGTTTTTTTAAATGTGGCATGTAAAGGTTATAAGTCATACACACTAATTAGAGCTACGTTATGGGATCTAATGTTGATTGTTCAAAGGGAGGTGTGAGTTTTTACCAAATCATTTCCAAATGCGACTATGACTAGACACGAGGAAGCAGACACGATGAGAATGGCATGCTTCGAATCATCGAATACCTCAGCGAAATCTGTTTACATCCTTTTTACATAAGTTTGGTCACCTTTGGTTTTGCTCCTTTACCAATGCCCTCAGAAGTAACTTTGTTTTCCGTTATGACTAAAGTCAGAAGTAAACGTTTCACGGATCACTGTGCGTCAAGACTCCATAGTAGGTCATAAACCTGCTCGATACTTGAAAAGGTCAAAAAAAATCGAAAATGAATGGTATACATGGAAAATAAAACTGTGGCCCGTATACGGGCCACGCGGTCCCAGGAGCACGACAGGGCGTGGCCCGTATACGGGCCACGCGGTCGTCAATGGGTTAAAATGGTCTTACGCTGCTACTGACTTACACAGTTTCCTGGGCATGAGCCCAATCGAGAAGCGCTTTGCAATTCTTGGAAGAAGACAGTGGCTTCTTTGGACGACGTCCAAACAGGTCGGTTTCTTTCAAGAGACGTCAAACAAAATTCACGGACGGTCCCTGGGGCGTCAAGATTTCGCGGAGAGTTTTGACGCAGGCCATTCCTTGCTAGCTGAACAATGTTTCTGTCGAGAAGGCAGTATCATTCTCGCAGCCTCTAGCTTACCCTGTGACCTTGCCTTCCAAATCGTGTGATTGCACATAGCTGGCAAGCTTTGAATTTCGGGAACTCGCCTGGATGTTAAAGCTTCCTGAAAGTCCTGGATGAAGGCACCAAAATGATCTTGGTAACTTACAGATTCTCGAGTGCCTCAAAAGAGTCCTATTGATGTTCTAAGTGCATGACGTAACACAAAAGAACGAAATCACCGCGAGTTTCTTAACATGAAAGCCATGAGCCTTCGAAGGCGAAAGTGTGCGCTGGGGGTCCGTTTGAAAGTAAAGCGCCAGTTTTGATTGGAAGTGTGCTGCTGGACCGCTGCACAAGTATAATGTCACTAACTGTTTAAGTTACTTACTGCGCGGAAAGGTTGAAGTTTGCGGAAGTTATGTTCGAAAAATTGAAAACGCCTACTTCACTGACCGAGACTGTAGGGACATAGGTAGATGAACTATCGATTATTGGTTCTTTGCACAGGTTACGCAAATACATATAATTTTGCAATAATACTGGTAGGAAGTGGGCGGAACATATTTCTCACAGAGGGTACAAAGTGTCTTGTACGCAAGTTTTCTCGATCAAATGTGGTAATGATTCCTGTTGTTATTCAGAGCTTCAGCAAGTTTCAACCGCTCCCGATGGAGCGCTACATCGTTCATGGTAAAGTTGATGTACGAAAGCCGTTATACATGAGATTTGAAGAGAGCGTCGAGGATATAATTGATGATTCTGAAATGCTGGTAAAAAATTTCCTCATAATAGATTTCCATTACCGTTTAACACCTGCGTCGATTTTTTTTTTCTTAGTCGCCTAGAGGTGATTTTTCGAACGTTCTTCGATTCTTTCCTAGGTTGGTTCGTTTTTTTTTNTTTTTTTTTCAGAAATATTACACGGATCTCCAAGCTGACGCAAAGAAAACTTCTGAAAAGTCCAAACACCGAGTTTCTCAAATCAAAAGCAAAGATGCCCCTGATTCTGAGACTATGTGAGTTTTCAAGAGTTCGAGGAAAGTAAGTTGTGCTCACCTACTTCCTACAAAAAATGCACATGCTTCAGTAGCGATGAAGGCGGTGCTTGGGAGTCACCCATAGTTAAACGGTGTGGCCGTGTCGTCAATCTAGAAGGTGAGGGCTTCATTATTTCGTAATTTTGTCTACGTATCCCTTCTGTTTCGAGGAAAAAACTAGAATTCCAGTCAAGTCTTCAAGTAGGTGAGAATAAAGTACCATTAAGCTGTTATTCCTACTTTCTTTGGAAGTTGCACATGAAGAGGAGTTAGATGAGAGAATATGGTACCTTCTTTGCAGGACAGTCGCATATTCTGATTGATGGAGAGAGGTACGAGGTATGTAACTGAGGCTATTGCTGTTGAGTTATTTTCTTTCTCCATTCGAATTTGAAGTTTTTAAAACACATTCTTGTAGGATCTCGTGGACCATTACGTGGTCATGATTAGTTTCAGATCCCTCGTAAGCGCGTATAATCAGTTGCAATCAGACAATTGTGCTATGGGTTTCTGACAAGCTTTATTCATAGTTTAAGCGATTCTGTGAGCCTTCGTAGAAATTCTTGCACAAAGAAGGAGGAAATAATAAAAAGTCGTTTTCAAATCAATAGATAAATACAACCAGAGTCAAACAGCGTCGTGAAGTTTCCTCCAGCGGTTCACAAGTATACCTACCCATGTCCAAAAAAGCGTAGGCAAAATGTCGACCGCCTGAAGAATTAATTTCTCAATTTCACGACAATTTTGGGTAATCCAGATTATGATGAAAAATGGAAGACAAGGTCTGAACTAGTGCGATGGAGGTGGAGAAACTGCGTGAATCGGTGTTTCCAAAGTGAAAAAAGGCTTCGAAAAACCATTAAAAAGGGGCTGGACTAGAATGGGACCAAAGCCGTGCCTCTAACAGCTCAAGCCGTAAAAACATCGAAAGTTTCGAATCAGTGTATCTTATGCGACACGACCTCTTTGCCTCTTCCACAGTTACAATTCCGCGCTGCAAATGAGCAGTCTTGGACCTGTATGTGTCAGATTTGAGGTTTTGGCTCGATTCTAATTGCAATAGCTTTGGTTTTTTGATGCATTTGATATACCTTTTGGTTCTACATCACTATAATAAAATCGAGTCAATTTTATAAGGGAGGTGTTGGAAGCTGTATGTTCCCCACTAGTGACAAGACGAGTGAAGTTAATTTTCAATTATTTTTGTTGGTTCCAGTAATTATTTTTGCAAAAATGGTTAACTTTTGTAATAATCTAGGTAGATAAAATGCTTGATGAGTTCAAACCATCAACACTAGATGAAAGCCAGCGACAGGCGATGATCTACGCTCTTACCAACGAGTTGGCTATAATACAGGGTCCTCCTGGGACAGGCAAGATTTCAAGAGAGCTATTCCCACTTTACTTTTTTTTTCTTTTTTGAAGCCTTGATAGACGGAAAAGCGATTCGCAATGTTCTTTGTCGAGCTATCAGAACGTTGTTTTGAACTCAATGAAAATAGGAAATCTTTCGATTGTCATCAGGAAAGACGTTCCTTGGTGTGGAAATCGCACGAATAATTCTCCAAAACCGCGTTCGATGGGGCATAGTTGAGCCGATCCTCGTGGTTGCTTATACAAACAATGCCGTCGATAGTTTTGCGGAACTGCTTCTGAAAAAGGTGATCATTAAAATGTACTCGTTCCATTTACCCACTAACTCAAGAGATTTTTTTCAAGATCCGTGCGGACCAAGATAAAGGTTATGTGCTACACGATGGACCTCTTGGTGTCCGCCTTGGAACGAAGTCTGAGAGCGAATTCTTGAAGAGGTTTGTGACGTTTTGGTGGGAGGAACATTATATGTACATGGGCAAGGGAAGGAAACAGGAGTGACACACGTGACATCACGTTCCATTAATCATAAGAGTGCACCCGATTAGTCTCCCTTGTTCCGTTTTCTTTGAAGTTGGGCAAGCTTCCAAGGCGAATCTTTGAGGTTCAGCAATCTTACTGCACTGCATACTTTTTCGACTCTTGGTATTACCATTTACAGGTGATGGGTAAGAAACAAAAAGGAACACTCCTCGACTTAATTTTGATCGAATAGTCTTCTAATCCTAGAAAAAATCAAGATGGGCAGTTGGAGTTGGAGTAAGTAGAATTAAACTGAACCAGAAGGTAGTATATAACTCCTGACAATACCAACGTAATAACATTGGAAAGATCTCTTTTAATCTTACTAACCAATTTAATCATAGCCCACACCGAGTAGACCTCGACCGATACAACTGCACCTCATTCGTTGATAGTATTATTAACGTGAATTGTTGACGGGATTCCCAATTGGTCTAAAGTGCGTTATTGCTACCATCCAAAGGGTAGCAACTCGTCAAGTTGTTCCAAGGTGCTCGAATTCCACTGGGACGTTAGAGTGCAGCAAATCGTTGCTGCCATCCGTTTACAGCGCCGGGCAATGCTTATCGAGACAGCATGACTGCTGACGGTCTTCGCGTTTGAGATGTTATTTTCCAAGCATAGCATGCTCCAACGCGCTCAACGTTCATCGCAGTACTCTGAATGTGCTTGCTGAGGGCGACGAAGGTTTAAAGTCGTTCTCGGAGACCTAGAAGCATTTTGGAATTTACAAAACTGAAGAAGAAATAAATGAACATGAAATACATGTCTGACACAGAAGTTTCAATCCAGATGAATCCCTCAAGACTTGATTCCACGACTTCCAAGTCTTCCTTATTTCGCAATGTCAGCCTTACCTATCGAACATGTTGCTCTTCCTTTTTAAAAACCATTTTTGAAAATTGTTTTACACAGGGACGCGGCGGCGCTGACTTTGTTAGCTAAGAAGAGTAAGTGCTACTTTTGTTCCTAGTTTGCGGAACTTCTGCATCCGAATGTTTATGATTCGAAGCCTTTCCTTTTCTAAACGAGGTGACTCTAACACCTAGACGCGATGCAAATAACCAGGCGGCTACGCACGCTATCGCGTGCACTAGGGGCTCTAGCCATGAGGGACGAAGCCACATGAGACGATTTTCATTACAGACCTTTGTCGGATTTATGAGTTTCCGCTCAAACCCCGCCCCGTGGGCGAAGTCTATTCCTGCCACCCACCATAAGTGTTCCCATCCCGCCGCCTATACTCCTTCCAACTTTGAACTTTCTAGGTCCACGGAAACAGGAGTTATGATTTTCCAAAATGTTTTTATAAAGCATTGCATTTTTGGAGAATGCCCCGCCCATCGGGTGGATCTCTCCAGTTCGATCTGACA